CCTTCCTTCCTTCCTTCCTTCCTTCCTTCCTTCCTTCCTTCCTTCCTTCCTTCCTTCCTTCCTTCCTTCCTTCGTCTTCCAGGTTCAAAATTCTAACCCTGCCACCATATAGCCGTGCTCTTTTAAAATTACAGGTAGTTCTTGACTTATGACCACAATTGGAACCAGAATTTCTGTTGCTAAGCAGTGCGATCGTTAAGTTAGTCATGTCCGATTTTATGACAGTTTTTGCCATGGTCGTTAAGTGAATCATGTGGTTGTTAAGCAAATCCAGCTTCCCCCATTGACTTTGCTTGTCAGAAGCCCCCTGGGAATGGCAATCACATGACCCTAGGATGCTGCAACCATCATAAATACATGCTGGTTGCCAAGCACCCAAATTTTGATCACAGAGATGCTGTGACAGTCATAAGTGTGAGGACCAGTCATAAGTCACTTTTTTCAGTGCCATCATAACTTCGAACGGTCATTAAATGAATGATCATAAGTCAAGGACTACCTGTATATTCTATCTTATCTTTTCTAACAACCGTAGCAAGATACATCTGCTCAACTTACAAGGGGATATAAAAATATTCTTTCCCCTTTGCATACCTCTAGAAACTGCTTCTTATCTTCAGAGCCAGACTGCTCCTGTACATGGCAGCTTTGTAGAGCAAATAGCTGCTGATCCATTGATTTGATATAATTCTCAGTCAAATAGTAGGGCTGCAGAAAACGCTGGGGTTTGGGAAAGGAAATTTCTGGTTGTCCCCAAAACTTTCCTATTTCTCCCAGGACATAGCAGTCTGGCTGTTTTGAGAGTGGTTTGTAGTTGTCTAGAAACAAACATTTCTGAACAGGACATAGTGTGCAGTCTTTCAGATCTGGTCCTGCCCCAGATAGCTGCATTTTGCATGCACCGGTTAAAAGCTACCCTGTAGCTCTCATGATCTGGTCTGGCTTTGAATTCCATAAATTATGGATTGCTGGTGCAAGTTTCTCTCGCTTCTCTGTCCTGGATTAAATAGCTTGTATCGGGTTGTCCCGAGAGAGGGACAACAAAACCGTTTCTCTTTCTTATTCTTCACCCAGGAATTGACTTCATCCATCATAACGTCCAGCATCTGAGCAGGATCTATCCAGCCGGATGGAGGACAGATTCATCCAACTATAACCCTGTCGAGATGTGGAACATGGGTTGCCAGATAGGTAACTACAGTGGGGAGACGTGTAAGCCCATTGGGCTGTTGAATCATTGGATTTGATCCAGAAGAAGTTGAATCATTGGATTTGATCCTAGAACAGACCCATTGCAATCAGTGGGACCTAAACAGAGATGCTCCAAGCTTTTTGGTGGATCGATTTTAGTCACGTCAATAGCATGGATTAAACTCGCTGGCTGCCGTCGGTCTCAGGATCACAGTCACAGGGCAGGAGCCAGTATTTTTGTCAGAATTAGGAAAACAGCGCCACGCTGTTGCTTCGCAAGCTCCTCCGTTTTTGTACCTGTGTGCAACATCACAACGCATGTACAACAGGAGCTGAACTTCTGTTGCAATGGTGCCTCCATCATTTCCCCCCAGCCCACAACCCCCAGGCAGATGCCTCTGGTAGGCCATGCCCTAGGGAAGAAATTGGAAGAGTCACCTCGTGTAAACGTTTGGTGGGTTCTGCAGCATAATTGTGGCATCTAGATTGGTGTTGGAAAAGTTTCCTGCCTGCAGATCTTCCCCATAGCGGAGCTGCAGAAAGATGTTCATCATGTTGAATGGGATTTGGGCAGGTAGAGTAAGGAAGAAAATCCCATTGTTCCTGAAGGAAAGCTCATTTGTAAACTTCTCTCTCACAAGCTTTCCTTAAGGCAGTGTTGTCCAAACTTGGCCACTTTAAGATGAGTGGACTTCAACTCCC